CCTCTTTTTTTTTTTTTTTTTTTTTTTTTTTTTTTTTTTTTTTTTTTTTTTTTTTTTTTTTTTTTTTTTTTTTTTTTTTTTTTTTTTTTTTTTTTTTTTTTTTTTTTTTTTTTTTTTTTTTTTTTTTTTTTTTTTTTTTTTTTTTTTTTTTTTTTTTTTTTTTTTTTTTTTTTTTTTTTTTTTTTTTTTCCTTTTTATTTCTGCAGGGATTTTATAAATTTGAAGAGCAAAGCAGGGTTGAGAGTGAGTGCCCGGCTCTGAATACACACTCACGAGCATCATGCATGCAGGTACTGGATGACACAGGAGGTGGAGCACAGGTCCCCTTTCTAATGAGCATGTTTCTATGATGTTATGTTGACAAATAAACTTGCCCTATAGTGTCTTTAAGAAATTGAATATTAAGTGTATTTAAGGTACAAAACAGCAATGTTGTTTTCCAAAACTGCATGGATGTGTTCTTGCCCTGATAGCTTCTGACACCACAGTTCTATGCAGATCAAACTTGCATTTTGAAAAATTATGTGAGAAGGCTGTGGTAATTCATCCTCAGTAATCACTCTTTTATTTTTTTTTTATTTTTTTTAAACTAAATTTTTTTTTATTCCTTCCCAGAAACAGTAACAAGACGTTAGGTATGGGCTGTAACTGTTAATTCCTTTCTTGCCCTCACTTCCAGTCAGTATAATTTGTTCTGATCACACTTTCCGAAGCCAATACAAAAATCCCATATACTACTATTTCTACCATCACTATTATGCATTGATTTTCTAGATCTCTGTTATTTAAGCTCTTTTTTTTATTATGAGCAAAAAGGAAATAGTCAGTCCTGCAGGACTGTTGGAAACACCTGGGTAGGTGCTTCAGAGGGGTGTTTCTGCTGACCATCTAGGAGCTTACGGAGGAACATTCCAGCCCAGTCCGAAATAAAATATGTCTTGTACCACCTAAAATCATCTCTGAGCTGCCCTTGGGTGATGCTTCCTGGGAGGGTGTATGAGGGATGTGGATCCAGTGGATTCTGCTGTCAGTGGTGGGCAGCCTGTCACCCCACAAGCAGCAGGTCTTTGCTCCCTCTCCTTCCCTGCAGGTGTCAGGGGCTCGGCATTTCTGTCTGTGGGCAGGTTTTGGTCCCACAGAGGGAAGAGGTGCAACGTGGGCGGGCAGGGCTGCCGGTGGGAGAGGGAGTCATGTCGTCAGCACTGCTCCTTCTACGGGCAGCTTCCTCCTCTGCTGTTCCTGGGAAGGAGCAGCGTGTCCGTGGGCAGGTAGTGCAGGGTAGCTGCTGGTGGGAGGAGTGGGTTAGACCATGAAGCCTCAGCTTTGCCATGACCTGAGTGTCCTGGCTGGATGGCAGGAGTCATTTCTGAGGGATTGCAGAACTGCGCCGGCACCTTGGGCTCGTGATGCAGAGCCCTGTGTGGCTGAAGGGCTTTGCCAGGCCTCTGTATCCTGGTGATTTTGATGACCGGTCTGCTTTTCTTTGTCCGCCTTTTCTGCTGCAGATGGATGATGTGATCGATGACATAATTAGTCTGGAGTCAAGTTACAATGAAGAAATCCTCGGCTTGGTGGACCCAGCCCTGCAAATGGCAAATACGGTACAACGGTCCTTTCCTTCCGGTTTCCCCGTTAAGTCTAATCATCTTTCCTTCAGAGAAAGCAGAACTGCAGCATGGCTATTTTTCTTTGCAATTAAGTGGTTATTGCATTGTTCTGTAGAGTGTAATTTATTTTTTTCTTTGAAGGGCTCAAGGTATTCAGTTGGCAGTGAAAAACACTAATTTAAAAACACAGGTCGAGGGAATACCAAGGACAGTTTTACTTTTCTTATTTCCAAGTCATGTTAGTAGTGAGAGGATTACAACAGAGGAGTAAACTGTGCCACCGAGAGCAGCTCATTCCCATTGGTATTAAAGATTGCCATGGACTTTATACTTGTCTTCAGAAAGGAAGGAACCTCTGGCATCCCAGGTTCCTGTATCTTGTCATATTCAAGTAAGAAATTGTGTGCTATGTGTTGGCATCCCTGTCCAGAGATACTCTAGTTTAGCAGTTATCTCTGACATCACAGCTTTATCTCAGCCTGGTATCAGTTGGAGAGAAGTCCCCAGCTAGACAACAGCAAAGGTGTTACAGAATTTAGGAGTGGAGGGGAATTATAAAACGCAGTCTTAAACAAAAAGGGAAGGAATAAAGGAATTTAAAAACCAAACAAGTCTGGGCACATGGGAAACCTGTGACAAAAGTGAAGAACTCAGGGGTGTGGACGGTTCTGAGCAAGGCAAGGCACAGGTTACCTCCAAGTGGCTGTTTCGGTTTGGTTCATGTTGCTTTGAGAATTAATATAATCACATTTCTGGCATAATCTGATTTTGATCTTCTGTGGAGGGTAGCTCCAGTGAATTTTTTGCCTTAGGCTTAAGTGCTGTTAGATCTGGCCGAGTAGATGTCTGCCAGTGCTGGCGTCTGTTTCTTTTTTATCTGGTGCCAAAATTTACAGCTTACCACATAGCATTGATTTTGTAGCACAGGTTTACATTTGCTGACAGTAGTCGTCTGATGTCATGTTAACCTAGTCCTGTGCTCCCACAGATTCCCACAGCCCTCTCAGACGTGGTGCATGACGCAGGAAGCGGCCCACCAGCTTCCCTCTCTAAATAGTGCCCTTTGAGTACATGGAGAAATAGCTGCAGAGTCCTGCCAGAAAGAATAAATTTTCCTTTAGTCTAAGATTCAAAGTGCAGCTGTCCTGGAATTTGAGAGAAAAACTCAATGAACTTTGAAAAAGATGGATTTCAAGACACTTCATCTATTTTTTTATACTTTTTTTTTTTTTTAAATTGAGGGATGAGGTTCTTCTGGAGTCCTTGCTCTGAAGTTCCTTTGGAGTGAGACCTGTTAAATTGGAAGGGATCTGTATAGCTTCGTGCTTTTCTTCCGTTCTTATTTCACAGGGACCCCAGCAGTGGCTTTTTGCTTCCAGGCAGGGACAGAATGGTACTCTGCACTCTTCTGGTGCAAGGAGTCCCTGTAGTTAATGTTCAGGGTAATCTGCATCCCTCCTGCTTGCTGCGTGACAAGAAGGCTTGTAACGGCTGCCCAATCCACATATACTGTGGAATTTCAGAATTAGCCCACTCTGTGTGGTGAAGTCTGGAAAATAAGGATATAAAACAGTAGAATTAATATTTCTTTACTAATACATTTAAATTGCTGCAGAAAAAAAAAGCGTTTTTCAGTCTCTGATTTAACCTGATACCAGTCCTGAAGAGATGGGAATTGACCCATGTTTCTCAACAATTGGCTTGGGGAAAAAAAAAAGAACCTGATGTAATGGACACTATTTTTGGGGACAGGATTTAACTCCTAAAACACACACAACATTTTACTAATGAGGAATTAATGTCTATAGACTGAGCTAAGTAGAGGTGGGAGAAATTAAGAGAGGAAATGGTCTCTAAAGAGGCACAACCTATAAATAGCTGTGCTGAGACTCTGACAAAGGCAGCTGTTGTTCCATAACCAACAAAGAACAAAAGGACCAGTTTGTTACAGTTGGTAACAGTACTTAATTGATAAGCAAAATCGGAGATTTCTGTGCAGAGCAAGCTAAGGGAAGTTTCCAAGTGCCTTGAACTGAAAATGGCTCATTGCAGTCAACTGCTTGTGGAAGTGTTTGTAAACTTGGGGATTGGACCACCAGTTAACTGGCTTTGCTTCTGTGGTGGAAAGTGCCACAAAATGGTCTGTAGTTTGTAGAGAGGGTTTTCTTTGTAGATGTGACCTAATAATTGAATTGCTAAGTCCTGTGTAAAGTACTCTTGTATGCCAAGTGGAGATGACAACTAATTCACCCAACTAATCAATTCTAGCCAGAGCCTGACATGGAAAGCTTTGTATGGGCAGCCCCACTTTTAAATGTGGCTTTCCCATGGAATTAAACTCCAGAAGTAGAGAGGAGTTTTATTTCAGGGACTACTGCTGAGCATGTGCTTGCAGGTAAGGGAACAGCACAATACACTGTAGGCTACACGAGCTGGGGAACAGGATCCATTCCAGTGTGAACTGATACCTCAGGAACAGCCTTGCTGATCGCACAGCTGATGTCTCAGGGCTTTTGGACAGAATGTGGGTGCTTGTTTTGTTGGAGTAGTGGAGGAGAAATGAAAGCCTGAGACTGCCATGAATGTACACTCTGATGAATCTGCAGTCATGATTACCATATTTGAAGTTTCTGTTATATAAAAGCTGTCATTAAAAAAAAAAAACAAAACCAGATGCAAAGCAATAGGACTGTTGAAATTTGTTCTACTTGGTGTGTTTGTGCAACTTGGTAAAGCCAAGGGCTTGAAATATGAAATCTCAAAAATTAGGGCATTTTAGACTGTACTATTTCAATGAAGATAACATTCTAAGCCTGGCATAAGCCATTCTTCCTTGATTTACTTTTTGGAAGAGTAAAGGTGTATGATCTGACTGATGCTGCATTTAAATTTCTATTTAGCCAGAAGTAGCTAAGAAAAGCCTTAAGGAACATCATATTTAGGTTGGAAACATGATAGAATTTGGAGAAGACAGGGAAGGAGCCTCCTTAGCTCCAGAAAATTCCATATCTTTCTCAAAGGGACTTCATTATGAAATGCCTGTGGAAATTTTGAGATTTTTCCCATCTCCTTTTACTTGGGGATAGTGATGAAAGGCTTGACTGTCTTAGAGCTGAAAAGTTTGCAAACAATGTGTAATTTTTTTCAGTTTCTTTCACAAGGAAGAATTTGAAATCAATGCCAGGTGTCACTGCAAGGGCATTTACCCCCTCTTGGTTTTTTTTTTTTCTTTTTTTTGCCTTGTTTCAGCCCAGTGGCTGCTTTTGTGTGTTTACAGCACTACTGACTTGTCCATCTCAAATCAGTGCCCTCAGCATGGGGTTCCTCTCCCCTTTCCAGTTCCCTAAACTTTGCACTAATCATTGTTGGTTTTACCTTAGTCAACTGATTTTATTCCTCTGGGAACACAGTTTATAATTGTGAACAGAGGATGTACCTCGATTTTGACTTATCTTTAAGTGCCAGTATTTTGTGAGGTGGCCCGGAGTGTTGCGTGCACTTTGTTTTCACATGAGAGTAATAATGTAAGTTAGTCCCTAAGATGTGACTTGTGGGATCCTGGAAAAGAGGCCTCTCAGAGGCTCATACTCTGCATGGACTGTGCCTGTAGGAAGATGTCACACCTGAAGCTCTGGAGTTCAGATGCTGGGAAAAGTCAAAGAAAGAAGCTGATCAGTCTCTTTGCCTATGGATCACTGATTTAGATGGACACTGTTGGCATCTCCCTCTAATTTCCCTGATAACAAGCAGCTTCTGTCTTGCAGTACGGAAAGCAGCTTGGTGACTCTAACTGTTCTACATGCTTTGAGATGCTCGTTTTTGGTTTTCTAACAAAAAAAAAATCTTTTTTTCTTTTTTCTCCCCCTAAATTCCCTGAACTTCCTAATTAGATTTCACATGTCTGGTTATGAACTTCAAGTCCTTGGGCTACAAACAAGGTCTTTGTGCTCTCCCCATGCTTAGGAGCATGAATAGAACGAGCACATCCAAGTCAGAAGGGTGTGTGACGCTGTCCCTGTGACGGTGTCATGGATGCATTTGGGGGGCCCAAAGAGACAAGGGTCAGCCTTGTAGAGAGCAGTGAGTGGTTCACCCTGACACTGATGTGGGTAGGGTAGGTCACGACTGGGACAGCTGTGACCTGAGCAGCATTATTAGAATTTCCTTTCTTTTTTTTTTTTTTTTTTTTTTTTTTTTTTTTTTTTTTTTTTTTTTTTTAATGCATTAGAGAACTAAGGGCAGGGCGAGGAATTGTAACACTGAATCTTAGTGAGAATTCAGTTACATTTTTAACTCTGTCACTTAGAGATTGAGTTGGGGAACTTTGGTTTTGTTGTTGGCCACTGTCTGTTCAGTAAATTTGTCAGCATGGCCTCTAGCTGGTGGTACTTCACATATCAACTTCCATTTATCTGCTTCCACATGGCAAAGAAATTTTCTTAAGTCTCAGTCTGGCAAGGACCATCAGTAGGAGTTTAATACTCCAGGCTGTGACTCACTGCATTGTATTCAACAGCATTATTTACACGGGTGTAAAGTTAATACTTACTTTAATCTCTGCAGGATCAGTGTCTTGGGGGGATTGGTTTTCTTTGCAGCAGTAATGATAAGAAGTCTTGCCACTCAGATAAGATATCAAAGTGTTTTATACCCATCCTTTCAAAAACAAACAAGAGATGGGTAAAATAGTCCACTCAGGATAAATGTAAGCTTCTTTAGATGCATTTAAATTTAAAGGGATAGCTTTGGTAGGTCTTGTTGGAATACTGTATAAGTCTGCTTGCTTAAACATACCTAAATAAGCTTTGCAGAGTGAACAAGTAATTGGGGAAACTTAATATAAAAATAATCTTCCTCCTACTGGGGCATGTTCTTGTTATGTAAGGCAAAAAACAAAATAAACCGAAATGTTTTCTGTGTAGGTAGCTTTCAAATCACATGAAAAATGTGATTAATTAATACAGTGTTCTTCCTCAAGCATGTGACAACTTGCAAAGTACTTCACTCGCATATTCCCTGGAAAAGGGGGGGCTTTCTCCCAGAGAGCTCTTAGGCTCTTTCAGATGTGAGAGAAGTGTTGGGGGTACCGATGGAATAGCTTTAAGTGAAAAATAAGGAGCCACAATTAATATAATCGGGATTTTACCTCTTCTACGTATCTTCCATCTGCGTGTTTTTGAGATGTTTTATTCCTCATCCCTGTGCATATCTGTGACTTTTGCTGACATTCTTACACACTGTTTGCACATGGAAAAGAGCACAGATTTCTCAGCAGATCCTGACTCCGTTCTTCTGTACAAAGGCATTCATAAGGGCAAACCAAGTGATCCTTTTCCTTGTTTATCTTTTGCAGTTGCCCGTGTCTGGCAATTTGATTGACCTTTATGGCAACCAAAGCATGCCTCCTCCAGGACTAAACATCAGCAACTCATGTCCAGCTAATCTTCCTAATATAAAAAGGGAGCTCACAGGTAAATACGTCTAAAATTCCACCTTGGAGTAGTAGTGTAATTGTTTTGAATTCAGGTGATACTGGACATAATTTCTGAGAAGGAATACATGGTTGAATAGTTACTTTTTGCTTTGCAGACCACTTTTTTAGCAGATGTATCAGCCTGCCATGCAGTTGTGTTCATGTGTGGGCACGTGTGTGTTCACTGTCACAAGTTAAGATAAAAGTCCTCAGTTGTTACAGTCACACCTGCTCGTTGAAAATGCATCCCAGGAAGCTTCCATGCACCTCTTCCAGAGCTGTTTTCTAGTTTAGGCTTATTATTTGCTTTGTCAACACTAAACTTTACCAACTTCACATTGGGATTCTCTGTGGGTTTCATGTTGAGGAATGATACAAATTAGAGGACTTACTCTAGCAGGAGAGAGCTGTAATGATCAAATAACCCGTTATAATACAAAATCTGGACATGCAGATCCTATAAAATGTAAAATTAGGCACTGATGGGGGCCTGGAACTCGATGATATTTAAGGTCCCATCCCTCCCAAACCATTCTATGATTCCATGAATATGCCTCACTAAATTAAGATGAAAATGAAGTATTCCTTAAATTTCTTGTTATGCCAGTTCCTCTAGCAGTGCTCTAAACAAGCTGTGGGAGGCAGGGGGAGGAGAGGAGAACATTAAAAGCCTCTTTCTCTCAAGCACATGTGTATAGAAGGGAGATAGTTTGAAGCAAATAATAAGGAGTTTCATATTCTCAAGCACATTATATTTTGCTTCACTTGAAAGGATATAACCTCACATAGGGTACATATACAAGGTAAATTTGTCTCCAGGCTGAACTAATGGAGATCCATTCTAGAATTGATGGCAAAATCATCTCAATACCCAGAATTGGCCATTCTTAAGCCCAGCAGGGAGTCACTGACTGTATGCAGTAGGTTCCAGGCCTGGTTTCTTTCTTGTCTGTGGTCTTTCTGGGTTTCATTTGTGAGAACTCATAGGCTGACTCAGTTGCAAAGCAGGTTCTGGGCAGGAATTAGCTTAAGTAGAGCAGTTTTAATAGACCAGGAGTCAGCTTCTCAGGAGGAAATGCCACATCTCTGAGCCAGTGTGTATTTGCATTTATATGACTGCACAGAATTTGAGCTCAGCACCAAAAGAAGACACACAGAGTCCAAATTACAGGCAGTTTCGTTGCCCAAAGTATAGAAAGTTCAAGGAGCTTTAGAGTACAAACTGAAGACCCAACTTGGATGTGCAGGCTGGTGGATTCTCTGCAGGTGGTTGTGTAAGACCTCAGACCAGGAAAGCAGAAAGAGGAGAAATAGTGAGTAGTGTTATGGAAGTCCTTGATGCATCAACACAGAACTGAACTAAGTTATATGTTTATATGCTACACTCACCTGTACACACAATTTAGGTGAGTGCTTTTTCTGATCAAAATACATGCTAGCTGATTCAGGAGAGGTTCAGGAATTAAATTCAAATTTAACAGCAGTCACTTTGACACTGATTTGCCCAAACCTTTGTGCACAAAGCTCTATTGATGGTGCTTTCTGACAGCCAGTGATTTTAAAATCAGAATGTTATTGCAGGCAGGAGTCTGTTGGTTCTCCTTTTCCTGATTTTGTTGCTGGAGCTAGGCTGGAGAGAGTTGCAATATTTAAATCTAGCATTTGGCAGAAACTTTTCTTAATCCTACTGTATAAATACCAAAACGCTGAAGAACTCCCCCAAAATCCAGTCTGTTATCTCAGCATCTGATGTTGGTGATAGTTGTGGGTTCTCAGCTCTCCCAGGAATGTGGTTTCTATTAGTTTTGGCCTCACAAACCTCATATCTGTTTAATAAGGCAGTGTCAGATTAAGCCCAGATTTCATTAAGACATCCAATGATCTTTCCAGCTTTTTTGGGGATCCTTGGGGAACCTGGCATAGAAAAGGATATGTCCTGTTGTAGTGCATGTAATATTGGGGTACCTCTGTATTCTAAGCAATGAAGTAGTAAACTTCCAGCACTCCAGGGGAAACCCTTAGCACCTGTTAGTTTGAATTGGATGGGACACAATCCATATTCATTAGAAATAAAATAATACAGGAAAGAAACTTCTTGGAGGCAGTGAGGGGTTGTTTCCATAATGGAATGTGTGATAATACATGACAGACTCATTCCTTCTCTCTGGCTTACTGTGAAACGACATAGTGCCTTGCTGGTTTGGGGATTTAAAAGCAACAGGGCAAGGATTAATGACCTCAACTTTAAAAAAAAAAAAAAAAAAAGTGGTAGAACAAACATTAAAATACTTCAAGTTGCTTGAGAAACGTAAGATCAAATGAGAACTGTAAATAACAGATTTAGTTACGTTCTTGCCCAAACCGTTGCAAGCTGAAGTTAATAATTATATGACACTTGCAGAATATGATAGCAATAGTAATATAATAATAAATAATAATAAATGTGTGGAGTACGGTTAAGAGCAGTCCTGAGTTGAGGAGACAAATTCTGTGTGGCACAGCCGTCATTAGTTTTCTTTTTGCTTTTCCTGAAGCAAACCCCTTTGTTTTCCAGCTTTGTTGCTATGGAGGCTGTTGAATTTTTCATCTTTTTTTTTTTCCTATATAATAGGAACAGTTAGCGCAGCTGGAAAATAACAGTCATAGTGTGTCACTTAAGTTATCCCTTTAGTGCTGTGGTGATGTGTGTGCACGTGCCACAGGAGGCCATATCCTTAATTCCAGCGAGCAGAGGCTCTGACTCGTGCCTGCTTCACGTCCTGCGCTGGTGGCAATGCCCTAAGCATGCTGTTCCTCTGGTTCAGCTCCCGGGGGACACGTGTGCCAAGGCAGGAGAAGGTGCGTTGGATTTCGGCAGCTTGTTGTCCTCAAATACCTTGCTGAGTCAGGGCCTCCGTGGGAAACATTCCCGTCGTGGAAGTCAGCCTGGGAAGTGTGGGAAGAGATGCTCTGCAGGAGCAGAGGTGAAGCTCAAATACCCAGCGCTGTGTTTTGGCATTCACAGGCCCTTCTCGCTCCTTGGAATGGGTGTAGTAATTGGTGTGACAAATACCGACCAGGCTTCCCGTGCAGATGTTTCACAGACTGAAGCGTTGTGTTTTGAGTTATTTTTAATTCTAATTGCTTCATTCACATGCACAGCATGTATTTTTCCCACAGAGTCGGAAGCAAGGGCGTTGGCTAAGGAGAGGCAAAAGAAAGACAACCACAACTTGAGTAAGTTTTTGGTTCTTCACATTTTGCAACAATTCTTGGAGTGATTTTGGGCATTAAGTGTTCAAATACTGATGATTTAAATCTCAGTGAGACACTGCATGTACTATATAGTATTAGTTGTGTTATGCCCGCAGATCAAATATCTCAAATTCTTGTGAAATGTGTGCTTAAATGTACTATTGAGTTTTAACTCTATTCTTATTTTTTTCAATAAGCCAAGCGTATGAGTGGTTGTTATCAGTGGAATTGCTGTGAGCAACATGTGACCCAATTGCTTTTAACAAATCCACCTTGCACCATTTACTTTTCAAATTTTAATTTATTTTAAAAATTAAATATGTGGTCAAGTTGTGACTTTAAAGGTCAGTGTTCATCCTCAGTGTGGCAGTTTTATAGATTTCATTCCTGAAGGGAACTCGTATGTCCGGGTTGGAAAAAAAACCCACCACATTTTAGAATATGAGAGCAAAATAAATGCTGGATTTTAAGCTTCAGGCGGACATTTCAAAGGTGCTGAAAGCAACCTTTGATAAAATACTTTGTGTGTTGTAATTAGGTGTGAATATCACTTGTAACACTTGTGCTGTTTTTTCCCAAAGTTGAACGAAGAAGAAGATTTAATATTAATGATCGTATAAAAGAACTGGGCACCTTGATACCCAAGTCAAATGACCCGTAAGTATAACGTGCCCGGGGAGACTGTGGGAGGAAGAGGTTAAAAGAAAATAATCCTAGTGGACAACAAGAATTTAAAAAAAAAAAAAAAAAAAAAAAAAATCCTGTTTTCTTGTTGCTCTTGACACTCTACGACTGTAGAAGTCCTTTCAGGTTCCGTTATATTTTTTTTAAGGTTGGTTTGGGGTTTATTTTTCCCCTTTAGGACCCTGCTTATGTTTATAATAATTTGATGATTTTTGTCACAAAGCTGAGGTTGGTGCTGGGAGTGACTGACGGCCTTACCAGAGGCAGAACTGTGAGGATGGGAAACCATAATCTGGGCTCACTGCTT